CTAAATAAAAAGAATATCTTTTGATAAATCCTAAAGCAAAAGGACTGGAATTAGATAGTCCCTAGGATTTTTTCTTTATAAAGCGGTTTTGTAGAGAGAGAGTGTGTGCAAAAATAGAGAGAATAGGGTGAAGTGATGTAATCCTTTGGGTGTGTGTTCTAGAAAGAGCATGTAAGAGAGAGATTGAAAACCCCTAGGGGCTGTTTGGATCCATAGAAATTTATTTTCAGAAATGTATTTATGTGGAAATGACATATTTGTTGGCGTTTGGATCGAAATTTTGGGATTGAAATGTATTTTTGTCCGTAATTGTTCTCTTTAATTCAAGCCACAAATAAGGAAATCTATATCATTGTCTTTACCCTCCGAAATTGATTTCCAACTAGATTTCCCCATTATAAAGATATCCACTTGATAAAATATAATTAATTTCACAAAAACACCCTCACAAATTAGAGAGAAACTATCTCAAATTTTTCGTTTTAAATAGAAAAAGTTTCTTAAAATTTTAGATACAAAAAATATTTCAAATTTTAAGTTTAATAAAGAGAAAGTACCTAAAAATTCTTAGAGAGAAAAATTGTTTCAAATTTTATGTTTTAGAAAGAGAAAATACTGATATTTTTTAGAGAGAGAAACTAAAAAGAAACTCTCATATTTTAAGCTTTAGAGAGAAATAATTTTAAAATTTTAGAGATATAAACTATATCAAATTTTAGAGAGAGAAGCTATCTCAAATTTATCAAATTTTAAGTAGAGAAACTATCTCAAATTTTAAGTTGTAGTGAGAGCAAGTACTTGAAATTTTTCAGAGAGAGAAAATATCAAAAAAAATTTAGAGAGAGAAACTACAACAAAATTTTTAAAGAGAGAATATATATCAAATTTTAAGTTTTAGAGAGAGAAAGTATTTGAAAATTTTTAGAGAAAAATTCTCTAATTTTTAGAGAGAAACTATATCAAATTATAAGTTTTATAGAGAGAGTATCTTAAAATTTTTTGAGATAAACTATTTCAAAAGTTTTAGAGAGAGAAACTATCTCATATTTTAAATTTTAGAAAGAAGAATATCTTAAAATGTTAGAGAGAAAAACTATATCAAATTTTAGAGAGAGAATATTTAAATTTTTTTAGAGAGAAACTATTTCAAATTTTAAGTATTAGAGAGAGAAAGTAGTTAAACATTTTTAGTGAGAGAAGCTATATTAAAAATTGTAGAGAAAGAAACTATCTCAAATTTTAAGTTTTGTGGAGATAAAATATTTTAAAGTTTTAGAGAGAAAAACATACTTTTCTTTTATCAAAATACTCCTAAGTAGTAAGAGATGAAATATTTAATAGTTTACCTATTTAGACCATATCTTTTCTTGTATGTATTTTGAAATTAAATTGAAATACATGGTAACGCAATAAATTGTTCATATCTTATGAGTAATTCGCTCAAAAAATCCTCCTCAAGTGTCCTTTAGGCCCGTGGATATAAGTGGACAATACAATGCCGTGGGAGCACAGCGTAAACGCTCAAAACGTTTCAAACAACCAAGAAAATGGGTGGCGATTGTGACTTCCCTATTCAGGGTGTGGAGCTATCTTTTTAGATTTTTATTGTGGTGTCAAATCATGTATGCGCCAAAACGCGACAGGCCAAATAGGATTTGCTTTTAATACGGACTGTGCATAAATATCTTCGTGCATACTTCTACCTGGTCAGAAGACTTAGTTTTCGAGGACAAGGACGTCGTAAACATTTTTAATTATTAGAGGTAAATTCGATAACATAAGTATTCTGTATAATTTTTAAAATTTTATTTTGAGCTCAGTTAATCAATTACAAAATCCCATAACATAAGTGTGCCATATAATTTTTTTAAATTTTTTTTTGAGTTCCATTAGTCAATTACATGCCCAAGCCCCTAGATTTCATACCTAATAATAAAAAATGATTGTGACTTGCTTATGTGAAAAATAAACAATCTTATTATATAGTTTTTATTTAAAACTAGAGGTGGCATTGGGCTGGGCTAGCCTAGCCGAAGTCCCTAAAGAGTTGGACTACGTCCAGCTGAATTGGCCTTGACCTAGGACATGGAAAGGCCGGACTGGGCCAAATCCAATAAAAGTAAATAAATGATTTTTTTAAAAAAAAAGAATTAGGTAGCTCCAAGCCAACCGGTCCATTGTCAACCCTTTTTAAAATCTGTTGATGCAAATTGGAATTGCCTGAGCTAATTAAGTTCAATAATAGGATAATTTTCGTACATAATTGGAAATTGGCCTGTTTTAAAACGGGATGTTCAAAATCGGTATTATTTACTAATTTCGTGGCCTTTTTCTTCTTGAAATTTGTCTTGAAATCATCATCTTTGAACTTTCTACAACATATCAACAATTATTTCTTGGATAAAAACCAAATTCATGGAGATCAAGTGCTCAAGATTTTCGTGTTTTCTGAAAAATTGAATTTAGTCTGTTACCTTTTTCTCTAGCATCCATACACTTAAATCTAATTTGACCTATTCCGGATGCCAATTCGGCCGATATAGCCTGTGGCTAATTTAATCGATGGGATTCACATATTGTAGAAATACAGTCTAGCGTGCATGAAACAATTTTCCCTTAAAACAATATTTCAAAGGAAAGGAAAAATACTTGCATGGAGAGTGAGTGATTCGGAGAGAAAGAGAATGACATGGCTATTAAAAAGTTGGTATTGGAAGGAGCATGAGATCATTAGAGGCCCAAATCAATAAAATAATCGTCTAGTGGAAAAAAGACAAAAATCATAGGAGGCCCCGAAGAAAAGCAATGAAAGCATTTAAATCTCGTTTAACACGTTGATAATAGTCTTTTTCAATTTACCCTTCTAGGCTGTATGGGTATATGGAAATCTATTACATTATAATATATTACAAAAGAAATACGACATTTCAAACTATTTCATACACTTAATGGTTAAAAAATCAAAGGAGATTATTGAGATTTCTCCAAAAATTATGAAATCTATTAAATGGGCGGTCTATCTCTCCTATATCCCACTTAAAAAAAATTGCCAACCTGCTATTTTTTCTATTTTAGATTCATCAGAGGCACGAACCAAAGCGACACTTCTCTTTCACGGGTAAGTCCTACTCTCATCTAGCGAGTGGTAAGCTTACCAAAGCGACATTTCTCTTTCACTGGTAAGTCCTACTCTATCTCATCTAGCTAGTGATAAGCTCTATTCTCTCCTTTAGCTATAATAATTGGTTCATCTAGCCAGTGGTAAACTTACCAAAGCGACATTTCTCTTTCACTGGTAAGTCCTACTCTATCTCATCTAGCTAGTGATAAGCTCTACTCTCTCCTTTAGCCATAATAATTGGTTTGTATAGGTGCTCTCTCCTCTTTAAGTCCCTCCCCTTTCTTTCTTGCGTCGTAATAACTGCTTTCTATATGTTCCCTCCCTTTTTAAGCCTATTCTCTCTCATCAGCCCTCATAACTGGTTTGGATAAAGTGCTCTTTCTTAATAACCTTCTTGTTTTAACAAGTTATAAGGTGCTCTTTCTTAATAACCTTCTTTCTTTAACAAGTTATTTTGGTGTGGATAAGCCCTATCTCTTTAATCTCCTCTAATACCTTAAAATTTTCTATTATATTTACCAAACCTTCTAGTTTACTAATCAAACTTCATCCCATTTTTTAACTCGTACCATATAGATTTTGAATTTGGTATCATAAATTTATTGCTTATTTGAAATTATATAGCGACATTTAGAAGACTTCTATATAAAAAAAAAAAAAAAAGCTCATCACAATAAAAATATGTTATTCCAATCATATTATTCCAATGACTTATCATGTTGAAACCAAAGTCTAATCATGTTAGAAGACATGTGATTTCATGTAAATGCAAAAGGCATGCAAAATAAATAGGAAATGGTGTGATGAATACTTTAGAATGATACAAGTTATTATTAAAAAATCTTTTTGGAAGGGTGATGATGTTATTATTAGAAAATGTTTTTGGAATGGTGTGATGATGACTTTAATTTTGCATTTAAGTGAAATTTTGTTATAAAAAAGAAAGAAAATATAGTTGATAGGCAAGTGCCGATAAAATGATAGTAATGCATTTATCATATTTCTTCCAAACATAGTCAATCATTAGCAATGTATTTCCCAAGTTGCATCTAAATATCGGTAATGTATTACCCCAGTAATATACTTCATCGACAATATATTTCCAGGTATCCAAATGACCCCTTAACGTCCCTTCTTCTTTTTTTTTTTCTAATATTACATAGAAAGTTCTTCTAGTCAATTCAAAGTTTTTTTTAGGAAAATAATGAAAAATGCTTTTTATTTAATTTAAAATGCTTCTCAATATTTAAAATTTAATTTTAAATATTTATAAAAAATACATATGACCGTGACCCCATAAGTAACTTTAAAATAAGAATAAGTTTATATAAGATTGCAATCTTAAAATCTAAAAATACATGTGCACCTCAAAAATCTATAGATTTTTTTTTTTTTTTTTTTCATGCTAAACAAACCTCGACATCTAAAATGTGAAAAAACAGAAGAAATTTTGAGTGCGACAAATAATGCATCTTGCAACGTATAAAAACCGTGGAACTATATCTTCCCTTAACTATAAAATATGATATATCGCCAGTTTACCTGTGCCACGTGGAAATCCTGATTCGGAAAGACACGTGTACAGTAGTGGAGTTTCTGGGTCAAATTGCGCGCTGAAGCATTGCGATCGGTTAGCGTGTGAACAAAACCTCCACCCCTGAGAAAGGCTACAATCCCAATTTTGTCCTCTCTTACTCGATACGCCTAAGTTTCCCGGTTCACCAATGAAACAAAACCAACACGTGGCTCGGACATGGGCCACTATATCTATCTGACGTGTCAAAGGAAACCACGCCCCTCCCGCCAAAATCTCGCTCAAGAAACCCACTAACGTTATAGCCATTTTTCCACCATGAATCAAACGTCAAAAACGCAAAGCAAAATTAAATTATTTATTTATTTATTTATTTATTTCATATGCTATTCAAATCAAATTCAGAAATTTTCAGAAGCCTATTTAAACTCAGATTTCCTCCAACAAATGAACAAATTTTCTCTCTCTACTTCAAAAAGGAAAAACGAATTTCTTCTCTGCTTCTTGCTCTAACTTTCTCTCTCTTTTTTGCTCTAATTTTCTTAGTTATAAAATACAAATTAACCCTTCTTAGGGTTCTTGCTCGAATTTTTTCCCTCTACTTCTAAAACACAAACAGATTGCTGCTTCGGCTTTTCGTTCTTCGCTTACTTGAGATAAAAGGGTCAATGTTTTCGCAATCACTGAATGTGATCTGGTGGCCAAGTGGTTGCAACAAAAGGAAACTCATCCAAAGGGTTAGTAAAAAACCAGTCTTGATCCAGAGGAATTGTAGCAAACGATACTGGTAATCCTTCAGTTTGATTCTGTTGTGGCAATGGCGCTGAAAGGGAGTTATAAAATTCACTCTCTGTAGAGAAGGACTCATAGGTACTATAGTAATGCTCGCAACTACTCGAATTGGGCACCATGTCCCATACGGGGTAATCGCTGGTCTGCAAAGATTGCTGATACTGCACATTTACTTGCTCGTTGATTCGTGCATCGCCCTGTGAAGAAATGGGGCCTGATGCGCTTCCTACTTCCCGTAATTCAGTACTTGGTTGATGCGGTTGGTAAAGCTCGCTTTCGAATTGATAATTGAATTTCTCAGGAGATCGGGGGATATGCGATGCTGCCTGGTAAAGAGGTAGAGAGTCATCGGGGAAATTGAGGTTAGCACGAGCTCCTCTGTACTCCACAGCCTTTGCATCGTAAGCCCTGGCCGCCTCCTCTGCTGTCTCGAAAGTGCCCAACCATACCCTTATGGCTCTGTGGGGGTCTCGAATCTCGGCTGCCCATTTCCCCCATGGCCTCTGTCTCACTCCCCTGTACTTCCTCCTCCTACTTGAGCTCGAAGCTGCAAAAACACACAGTTCCGTCAAGGTCGAGACAGAGAGAACCAATCAAAGTTTGAAAGGGAGGTAGATGTTAAGGAATGAGGTTGAAGAGGATCACTTGCCTTGTGGACTTGGGTCCGCAGTGGGTTCTACTGGTGAGGAGGAACTCCAACTGCAGGTCTCAGAGGGTGCGGGCTCCAGCTCATCTGGGCCGCAGCCACTGATTACTTGCTGGAAGGCCCGGACCATGATGGCGTCCTCTTGTTCCTGGCGGTGCGCTTGGTGGTCGCCTAGGTGGCTGGGTGGGGTCGTACGCTTAGACATCTCTCGCACCGTCCGTTGCTCGCAACTCGCAACTCGCAACGCCAGAATCGAATGCTACAAAAGGGGGCCTCCAGTTTTTATAAGTACATTTCTTCAGCGCTGATGTGGCGCGCCAGCTGTCACCCCTTTCACATTACGCGGCCTTGGGTTTCCGACCATCGCGTGGTCGTCATGCCGAGCGTTCATCACAAATAAAATACGAGTGGGACCAACTTCTATTCTAGACCTGTGGGGTAACACTTTTTTTCCGAAAAAAATGAGGCGGGCCCACCACTGGTGGTGCTCAGGAGTTTCTTGATTCGAAGCGGTGGTTTAGGTTAATGACATTGTGTCTTTAGGATATTACGGAGATAGCCCTTGCTTCGAACTTCGAAGAAATGCTGCTCAATAAAATACGAGGTTCTGGCATCATGTTTGTTTCATTCACGTGATTTAAATGGTGTTCCACTTTTTGTTTTTTTATAATTTTATTTAATCGCCCCATTGCCCTTTGAAACGCACGTGCACATTAATCAAGTTATGGATAGCTTTATGTACAAGACATTATCCAAATTAAACTATCTATGAACATGTCTTTTTGGATTGTATGGTTCAAGGGTAATCCAATCATATAAAACGTATGTAAAATAATAATAATAATAATAAAGATTTGGAGCCCAAATGCTTCACCATTGCAATTTTAACCTCTCACATCCGTAGGGGGCGGCAACTGGCCAAGGCCATGCTCGGCCCTTTTTTTTTAAAAAAAATTTATTTGACTGGCCCAGCCCATTTTTTTTCTTTTTTTTGTTGTTCTTTTTTTAAAAAAATTTTATTTGACTGGCCCGGCCTAGCCCTAATGGATAGGGTCAAGCTTCGACTAGGGCCTCTTTGGCCGAGTCAAGGCTAGGCAAAGCATGGGCCGGCCCTATGGAGACTAGGGCCAACGCTGGCTTGGACTAGGCCCGGCTTGTTGCTTGCCCTAGGCTTCTGATTGGAGTTCATTTTAATAGGGCTCAATGATTTGCATTCAAATCCAAATTTTTAGGGGCAGATAATTTTTTTAAAAAACTTTTCCAAAAAATGGGCTACAATATGTACTATTTTTTGAAGATTACAATCACTTTTCATATTGAGGTTGAGATCAGTTTTAAGGTTTTTAACATTAGAACAACGCTCAATGGGTTTTTGAGGTTCGTTTCCCTTCCATAGTTTGAAATCGACACCTTGTATAAACCTTCTCATTTAGAAATTGATAAATATTTAAATAATTTAAAAATAAAAAGGAAACCAAATTATTAGAACCAAGGATTTAAAATCTGGTACGATGACCTTGATCGCGCATCCAGATTTTCAATTCAGTTTAGTGGAAAAAAAATTAAAACAAGTGGTGCCGGTTCTAACTGGTTCTCCAATAGAACCCGGGCTGACTGGTTTCATGATATTTCAAGGGAATCGGTTTGCCCCCTTTGATTCTTAATCCAAATCGGGCGGTTCCAATCCGGATGGGCTATTTTCTTTTTTACCTTGATTAGAAACTCTATTGTTCAAGGATGTATTAATTTTAGAGAAAATTACATATATATCCGTTATACTTGGCATTATTACGGATGTACCAAATAGTTTCTGTTATTACATGTCTGTCTGTTTTTTACCTTATATAACGCAATTTTTTTAAAAAGACGACTTCACCTTCTTAAGGTTTCTGGAATTGCGCAATTCCTCGCGGTCACATTTTCGGACGTTGGCAATGTAAGCTTTCCGAAATGTGACTGATATTGTTCAACAACTGAAAATACATTGAATTCGGATGTTGAACATCCTAAAAACCCTTCAATTCGGTTGTTCAACACCCAAAAAAGGGTAAAGTCATCCTTTTTTAAAAAATTTACGTTAGGAAAGGTAAAAAAACAGACAGACATGTAATAATGGAAACTATTCGGTACATCCATAATAACGGATATATTTGTAATTTTTTCCTAGTTTTATTTACCTGATTTTAAATTGATAAACTTTATTTGATAAAATTCTTAATATTATTCTTATTCCTATATAAGTAGGAAATAACGGCAATGAAAGGAGAAATTCCCACATGAGAGGAGAATATGCACTCTGAATTTCAAAAATTTTCTTACTCCTTATTTTGAATTGGTGAAATTTATTTGAACAATAAGATTTTATATTAAAATGTTAAAACAAAAATTAAGAAGATGCTATATTCGTTAAAAGTTTAAAATAATTTTAAAAAATAAAAAATTTGTCATGTTTACGTCTGTTCGGAGATCGTATTTATTAGTACCCAGTATGGAGGGGTTTACTGCTTTGAAAATGAGTCATCGTGTAGTAATAAACTTTCATTTATATATGATGAACTCTGCCCACAACCTATAGAATATCATTCTTTGTTTTTTATTCTTTTGTTTGTCAAGGATTATGATTGAATAATCAAAATTGAAGGCCATGACTGCATGATAATGACAATTACTTCTTAAGAAACTCAGCATTTGTCATATAGATTTGGGCGAGCTACTAGTCATTCAAAATGTTCTAGCTTTGAAGAAAATAAAACAAATATTTTTATTTAATTCTAAATCAACCAATATTTTTTAATAGAAAATTTTGAATTCACTCAATATTTTTCTATTTTCTTGGTCCCAGTCCACATATTATGGTTAATTTATTGGGTTTATGTGGCTTTTAAAGGCCTTAAGAGATATTGTATAAACATTTAAATAAATAAATAATAAATACAGTAGGAGTGTGGTTCTTTTGTAGACCATATTAGGCAAATGCAATTTGCCGACACGTGGACTAGGCTTGATGTGCAAGGCAAGTCATGATGGAAAACCCAAAGAACCTGGGCATAGAGATGAAACCGAAGAGGGTTTAGTGGGTTAGCCATTGATGATGTCGGAGTATGCTCAGATGAGATTCGATGGACTGTGTAACCTTTGTATGTGATGAATAGTCTATATAAACATGACTAAAACCTCATCATTATATCATCACACGATATATACATAAATAGATGTATTGAGATTGTACATGTGCCAGAGATTACCCCCATGCACTACAAAGGCATAGTTGTATCATGGTCTGGCGGATCATCGTTTATCATGGTCTGGCAGATCATCGTTTGTCTTTAGGAGAGAACTGTTATGCTCTGATACCACTTGTTGTGCGCACGGAAGCAATAAACCCGCTGGGTTATGTAACGACCTAAATTTCTTGAGCATGATGAAGTCGCTGCCGCATAGTGATAGAGGAAGAAGACGAGCGACGATAAGGAGAGAAGGAAGAGAGCGCGCGGTAATAGAGGAAAAATGCGTGCAGCGATAAGGAGAGAAGGAAAAGAGCGTGCGGTGATAAGGGAAGAAGGCACGTGGCGATAAGGAGAGAAGAAAGGGAGCGCGCGGTGATAAAGGAAGAGGGAGCGCGACGATAAGGAGAGAAGGAAGGGAGTGCGCGGCGATAGGGAAAGAAGGTGTGTGGCGATAAGGAGAGAAGAAAGAGAGCACGCGACGATAGGGGAAGAAGGCACGCGATGATAATAATAGAAGGAAGAGAGTGTGCGACGATAAGGGAAGAAGGCGCACTGCGATAGAGGAAGAAGGCACTCAGCGATATGGAGAGATGGAAGAGAGAGCACGACGATAGGGGAAGAAGGCGCATGACGATAGAGGAAGAAGGCGCATGGCGATAAGGAAAGAAGGAAGAGAGCACGCGGTGATTGGGAAAGAAGGAAGAGAGCACGCGGCGATTGGGAAAGAAAGTGTGCGGCTATAGAGGAAGAAGGCGCGCTACGATAAGGAGAGAAGGAAGAGAGCACACGACGATAGGGAAAAAAGCGCACGACGATAAGAAAGAAGTGCGCACGGCGACAAAACTATGATCATAAAACTAGTTATGTTGCTTTGTGTGAGTGTGTAACCAGTTTCAACAATAACTGATATAAAAGTTATTTACCTTTTGAGTAGTTTTTAATTATCGGGTATTTTTTTTTCAATTTATTTATGTGTGGCCATTGATGCATGTTAGAAGCCAGTCCATGTTGGGTTTCTGTGTTTGTTTCATCACATATCCGTGAATTTTAAATGAGAGCTGAAATGGGCAATTTACATCCACATTTTTTCAAGTTTTAAATTAGACATTCACCCCCCACCAGGTTATGGGTTTGTGCCTGAAGTTATTATCGGTAAGCATAATGCTTTTTGTTGGTAGCATTCAATCGTTCAAATTGTGATACTATACACTGTTTACGAATATTGATCTTTTTTCTCGTTCTTTTCTTACTTGCCTCGATGCCAATGAGTGCGATAGGAATATATTGGTTCAGTTGAAAACCTTGTTGCATGCTAGGCTGGGTTGTTTAAAACCTGAGGATTGAGAAGAAAGTTTGAAAATTCATACACTAGATTATGGCATTCTTCCTTCTATTATCTTAACTTGTCTACTGTTATGGATGACATGGGTAATTGTTTGCAATAGGCTGCATAGCAAGCAATGATTTCTTTTGTATGGTCCATATTGAGGCTTCAAATTCTCAAAGTAAACTTTATTAATGTCAAGCAGAGGATGCTAACTAGAGCAAACAAAAGGAACGCCTTGATGTATATTACAGCAATGAAGTAGGACAGCAAAGGGTTACCTCTCTAGAAATAGTCCAAAGACTCAAGGCCCCCATTTGGATGGCCCTACTTTCCCCCGCTAAGTAGAGCCACCCAAGATTTGCCAAAATGTTGCTAGCCACTATTTGCAAGTGCAATTTCGAATAGAGCACTCTAGAGTGACTATTTATGGGAGGACCCGGATAACACCTAAAGGCAAGGCTCTTTTTAATTGCTTTCAGGATATCCTAAAATAGCCTACTTGTTTTTATCAAGGCATAAATTAGTTAAAAAATAAAAAAAATAAATGATAATAATAAAAAAAAATATTATCCATTCATAAATTAAAACAAAATAAATAGGCAGTGAGGAATCAAAGAAAGCAACCCAGCATTAGTAGGCTCCATCAATACACTAAATCTTACAAACTCATTGAAACTCTGCTGCATGAAGAACATTGAGATGAGCATTAGCACTCCAGTTTG